AGACATTTGAGTGGTCTCAATCTTTGGGGGTTAGTTCACTTTGGTGGAGGTATAGATTGGATTTTGGATGTGGTCGTCCAAAAGCTTCACAGCTCTTCAGAGGGGAGACCAAGAACAACAACAACAACAACAACAACAGCACAACCACCACCACTGCTGGGTTTGCTGCTGCTGCTCCTTCTCCTGATCCTACCGCTACTTACTAGCGCTACCGATTTACTCCCGCTACCGAGCTGCTACTGCCAATTCTACTCCCAGCCTCCGACTAACTACAAATGCTGCAGATCACCACATGTCAGTCAGGGATTATTTGTGCCAGGCTGATTGGTGCCAGCGGATCAGGCTATTTGATTACAATGTTCCGAGAACAGCTATATAGTCCTGTCCACCGAGTGTCTTGGTAGATGGTGGTTGTTCCCTTTTGGGGCTCGTGGAGGCCCCCTTTTCAAAAAGTTCTGGCAGTAGGTACTAGCAAGCCGCCTGCTGTACACTTGCCAAATCCATCAATGAAAGGCCACTTGGCCGCTGAAGTGTTTACTGAAGATTTTGTTTACGGAGACGTTCCTTTCTGTTTGAGTCATCAGGGCAACCCAAGACGTCCCACGCCTTCAAACATATCTAGTAGCCCCATACACCGGGTGATGAGCAGCGTCAGAAGGCAGAAGATAGCAAAGGATTGGTTTACTGCAGGCCAGTGACGTAGGAGTTGTATAGTGAAACATAGTGAAGCGATAGCCGAACAAATAAAGAACCCAAGTAACCCAAGTCATCAGGAAGAACAAACAAGACATACCACAACTCGATGTCGCCAAATCATACAGAAAAAACAAACCAACCAACCACCCTGGTTAGCACATTCATGTTGATTTGCACATCTAAAACGCTCGAGATAGGTTTGATTGGATTGGAGCACCCCAAGTGACCCTGAGCCAGGTGCAGCGCGGGCGTTGCGGAATCCTCCCACAGGTGACTTGGAGCAAGGCCAGCAGTGCAAACAGGCCAAATGAAAGAAGTGCAGCCGTCCTGGACTAGAATCGATAGTTGATAAAACTTGGAGTGGACGTGAGTAGACCATTTGCAACCGGTAGGCGCAGGGGAAGGCTAAAATTTGAGAACCCAAGTGTTCGATTGCCTGGGATTCTATTTGCTTTTCGATGCATTTGGGCAGCACAATGATTCGACTGACCTTCAAAAACCAGAAACTGAAGCATTCTCATCCCAAAACAACAATTCTTTGCCAACACCCTTGGATTACGGTGTTCTATGGTCATTTGTTTGATGAGACATGTGTTTCAAAGGCGCGCCGGGTCTGGGTGGGTTCAACCTTGCTCCGGTGGTGACGAGGTCGGGTTCATTCGAAGGGGTAGACTCCTTGATTCATCATCCACCCCAGTTGTTCTAGGCTTTGATCAGGCCTTTTCAGGCTCAATCCATCTTGGATCGGTATTTTGCGCCATGAGTTGGAAGGATGGTGAGAAAGAATCACCATGTTGTCCATGCTGTGGCTGCTCAGGTGGAGCAAGAGATGGCCAGCCCAGTGAGCCAACCAAGGACGGTGGACGGTTTTTTGGATTTTTCAAGTCCTCCGTGCTGGGCGCAGATAGTCGCAGGACTTTCAACCAACACCCACCCGAGCTTGGGAGTGGGGGAGCCCAACAAGAATGACACCATAGATGGCTTCCCTTGTTTGGTTCATCAATAGAGGGGATGCCCCCAAGTGAACAACCAACGCACATATGGTACCAAAGTGACTCCTCAATTATTCCCAAAAGGACAAAGTCCTTCATTTGGGGACGAGATGGGCATATTTGTTGGCAAAGGGGGGAAAGACCACACACAGCGAGACGAAGCAAGATGTGAGGGAAATAGAGGTAGGCCGAACGAGGATGGCATACTAGCATACACTGTACAAGCAATCTGTAACGGTCGCGAGACTGCGAAGATTTGGATTGCCAAACCATCTTCAGATGCCAAAACTCGAAGCAGGAGCTACCTCCAACCTGGATGAAATCCGGAGTTACCTCTAGGGCCCTGTAGGTCGCAGCTGCGCCCCAAAAACCAGAAAAGCCACGCCCAGGAACCACACACCAACCCCCAGTGTGCCTTTGTATTTTGATAGGGGACCCCCTGATACAATGGGCTTTGGTCTATGTTACATGTTCCTTCTTCCAGGGGGTCAAACAGGGAGGTCTTTAATAACACTCCCAAGTGCTCTCCGGCCACGCGGTCTGCGGGAACCGCCGCCGAGCGGAGAGGCCGCCAGTGGCTACTCATCACCGATGGTCAGTCACATGGTGGCGCCCGGCGCCGGGGTGCACAGGTACAAGCTGTGGAGATTCTCCTCGCCTGACATCCAGGAATCTAAGGCTTCAAAGACCATACATCAGTGTGCTATCTACGGCTTAGAACAGGCCATAGTAATGTAGAACAGGTTGGAGGAGTTGGCAGGTACTTAAAGCTACAGTCATGGTATTTGGAGGGCGGAGCTACACCATTCTGATGCGGATTTGATCAGAACTGTTTTAGGCGGTTTGATTCTTTTGGGATTGTGTTTGCAGAGGGCATTCAATTTGGTCATGTTACTCACGCGGTTTTCCTGGTTTGCGGCAGGTTGCGGTTGGTTTCAAGAGTCTATAGTCTATGGTCTCTATATATATATATATATATTTATTTATTTATTTATAGTATATATATATAAATACAACTAAGTGGTAAAATGGTTTGCAGTACCTAGAGGCTGTTACTGTTGTTTTCATGCCAATGGATGGTGTTGGATGGTGCTTCAACTCCCTCAATCCAAGGAATTTGCTGATCCAAGAACTCTCCAAATCCTAAAGAGAGAGCTGGATTTGTACCTGAGAGTACCTGAGATCCTGGATTGAGGAATTTGCTGATCCATCCAGGATTGTTGCACCAAACTCCTGGAAGTACCTGAAATGGTTGTTGCAGATCAATCGCTTCTGCTCAAAACTGGCGGCACACGCATTGGATTTCCACATGGGGTTTGAGGGTGACAGTTTAACTCCCTAACATGGCAAATGGTGCTTTGGAACACGGCCTGTCACAAAAAGGGTGGGTTTTCCACTTCCATGTGAAGTCGGGATTTTACAATCCTAGGTTTATCGGATTGTAAAGCCACAATCCTAGTATATCCTAGTTGTCCAATTCCAACAGAGGTGGGTCAGAACCCTAGTTCGACTATCCCAGTTGGGTACCCCAGGTGTTCATTGTCCTATTTACGGTCACTTAACCTCTCTTGGTTCCTTTCACCATGTGTTCGTCGCAGAATCAATCCTGGTTCGGGGATTCCACTCTTCGCTCTTCTTGGCCCCGCAAATCAGGCGTCGCTGGCGCCTGGTAGCAGGACGCCCCTCCCATCCGGTGCAACGACGCCCATCGTGACTCGGTTGGAAGTTGGCTCAGTTGAACATTCCTCATGATATGCCGGTTTCTTTTCCGACCCGGTCAGTGCACAACCTGCCCACCCTTTGTTGGGGAAGACCTTTGTTTTTCAGGCACACTGAGGGGGTCGGTTTTGCCTGTGGGGGGATCTCCTCCGAAGACATTTGATGACATTTGTATTGAATGAATGGGGTGTTTGGATGTTCCATGATTCCTTAACAAAATCCAAGTCCCAACCAGCAACATGGTGTTCGGAGAGACAAACCACCAGCTGCTTCGTTTGGGTTTTTCACACTGCCGGTGTCAGTCACCGGTCTGGGAGCCGTGAAGAAGCCGACACCGACACACGGGTTTCGCCAATGAGTCCGGCCCTGGCGTCTCGGGGTTTCTTCCTCGAGACGATGACTCTCCCTGGAACTCATGAGGTTACAGTCCCTAGGGCTCCTGGCCCACCTCCTGAGAAGGTGTTTGGGGTGGGTTTGGAGGGTCCAAACACCTTCTGAGGAGGTACTTGGAGCCCTAGGGAGTAAATACCACGTGGAGTTCACCAGCTGTGTGTTACGTGGAGTTCACCACGTGGTCTTCCTTTCGGGGCCATTCTCTATTCCACTTCCACCATGTATGGAGGGATGCGGAGCAGAGGCATGTCGAGGCCATGAAACGATGGTCCCACATCTTCGCAGGGGCAGCAGTAGGTGCTGGCACAAGTGTTCACTTTCTAAGGTGGGGTGAACCGGCGGACCCTATTTTGGCCCAATCAGAGGATTGGAGAATAGGACAATCCTCGAGTCACACGTTGAGTCAGTGAATGGCCTTTCAGCGACTCTTGCAGATTGGTTTCTCATGTCCCCCCACTGAACAGATAGAACAAGGTCTATCGTTATACTCACAACCTGCATTTTCCAGAGAAACTGAGAGAGTCAGGAGCGGATCAATCCATCCATGTCCACGTGTCATATAGAGACCGGCTCACATCATGATTCATGCGAATGCCCGGCGGACCATGGTAAACCAGCCGGCAAAAGGAGACTCAACATGCTCTTAAGATGAACAACATCCGAAAGTGCCAGGGCCACGTGGGTCCAAGACCATCCACTTCCGTCTCCTCCCCGAGGTCTACCCTGCGCACGGATCGTGCCGAACCGAATCGCCTTTGGTTCCTCGGCAGAACTCACGGACGAGAGCGGCACGGCCGGGGTCCGGCCATGTTCGCCACTGAAATCCTTGGAGCCAATGACGAGACCACCTGGATTGATTTGCATCTGCCACTATTCTCTAACACTCCCATCTTCCTATCATATGAATCATCCTGAGTGCAATCCTGGCAAAACTCACGACTGGTCTCTTAGTATTGACTGGATGTGCTCCTTTTGATCATTTGTGTGAAAGTTTGGGTCTACGTTGTTTCTTGAACACTCACGTCCCTTTCTCATGCACCTCATTTACCACGACATCGGTGAATTAGAGGATCAATTCAGGGACCTCTAGGAGAACGACAGGTGGAATACTAGCGCTACTAGCGTGATTATGGACTTAAAGCTTAATTAATGATCATCACCACTTCAACAGAAATCCATGAACACCCGCAACATTTTCCCAGCCTGCTCTGGATAGCCTGTGGAAGCACGTGCTGTCTTAGCAATGGCGACCTTGCGGCTGTTCCGCACCTTCATCGATGCAGAAGAGGGAGTGAACGACTCGACCTGTCGGGCCAGGCGTGGTCGGTCGGACGACGAACGCGAAAAGAACTGCCAACAGAGGTAGCCAGTGACTGGGACCATAGGACCCCAGTAGCTACCTGGGGTAGCCTGGGATAGTCGAAGGGCGTCGGGTTCTGACCCACCTCGGCTCTGAAGGCTGGTCCGGTGATGATTCTTCTCCCAACCGGTTCCCTAAGCAAATCCCGAGTAAGGATTGGTGATGGAGCATACACGTGGCATACACGGCTGAATGTGGATCATGAACGGCTGAATGTGGAGATATGTGGATCATTTTGGGATTTGGATGAACATGAAAAAATCAGATACTGGACTTTGGGCGTTCATTGTGTTGACCAGGGGGTTCGCACCTTAACGCGGCCATATGATTCTTTGGTTCTCTTATGTTCTCTTTTGTGTCCTTCGCAATGTCTTTTGCATGAAGCATGTTCCTGGTCAGGAGCTTACCAGCGGAAGCACGTGCGGCCGCAACATGCGAGGTTGAGGAGTCTGAGTGGCCTCGCATTTCATCGCCTTACTTTTTGATGATCTCCAAAGTACTCCCCCACAAACGATCCCATAGAACCTGAGAATTGACCCGTGGAAGACGATGTTCCTCTACAACCCAGTAGTTTGGGCGTTCCATGTGGTCCTCTGCAGGGGAGTATATAGATGGACATGTCCCTTTTTCCAACTTCGAAGGATGTTCGCCTCACCAAGGCTCGGTGGAGGGAAGTGCAACGAGCTCCAACAAAAGCCATCATCTGCAAAGAGGTGCGTAGTTTCACCTCGGAAGACCAACCCCCTCCCCCTAGGTTCGGTTAAAAGACCATCTACCCAGCCAAGGGCGATATGTTGGGGGGGGTTCTCCCAAATACACCGTTCCATACCGTTCCTTGCTGTTCCTTGCTTGCTTCAGGTACGTGGCGAGTTTGCGACGCGAGGTCGAAGTCGATGGCCAACTTCACTTACCAGCGGCGTGGTCGTGGGAGTCGAGGTCGAAGAGGCCTTTTACAAGGGGGAGCAGTGTGGGCAGCCACGAGTAGTAAGCAACCCGCCCTCCGCCCTCGGTCTATGGTCTATATATGCTGGTTGACAGTGGTTTGCCATGGTTTGCCTGGATCCGCTGGGCATGTGACTCATCTGACACCGACCAAAAGACCTTCATGTAGGTGATCCTGTGCAATTCTTCGACATACATAGCCTGGACACGACACAGGTCACAGCCGGTGGTAGTTCGAGTCTACGCACTCCGCCGCACGAGTCACGTCCAGTCCTTTGGAAGATGAGGTGCTACATGTTTCTGGTGTGTGACTGCTTGGCGTTGCTAGCACTACAGGTCTGACTGCTTGGCGTTGCTTCTCCGCCTTTGTGCTGTTGTTTTTCTCAGTCTTCATGCTTGACCTTTTTTTCCTTGGTTTCTTATTTTGGCACGTCATTCATGCCGAGTGTTTGCCTGGGTGTTGTATTGCTCTTATTGCTTTGTCCCTTCCAGCGCTGGATCTGAGGAGTTGCTGTTGCCAGCTTGTGCCTAATTGGCACCGTTTAGGCTTCTAACCATGCGGCATGCGTGTGCCAAGCTAGATTTCAGCCAACGGTTTGTCTCACCATTTCGCCCCAAAAAGACGCCGTTTGGGTTTGAACACAAGGTACAGACGGGGGTGGCCATCCGATGGTCTCAAAAACCTGTTAGGCGAAGTGCCTGCACACATGAGATCGTGGATTATCTTATCATGCGTGGGATGCCTCAAGATGCGACAAGCTTGGCTAAGTTAGAAGATAGATCTTCAGTCCTTGTAGCACACTCTGGGATGCTCGGTGCCACCGCAGGCAACGATCCAAGCAGAGGTTCCAGAGGAGCAACTGACCGTGGGCAGCATAGGCCATCCTGTCCTTTGCCGGCGCGCTTGCGTTTGGTTTGCCAAGGGGATGTGCAGCCTAGTTTTGCGTTTTGAGGTGATGTTTAATGTAGACTCTTGATTAATAAACCCCCCAGGCTTGAAGACGATTTCCACTTGCCTTTTTCAAGAGTCTACATTGCAGTATTTATGTGTATTTCATTTTCTTTCCCTCTACTGTAATTAGGTGAATCCCGTTCTGTGGAAGAGTTTTTCACGGTTCCTTACCACACTCCATGTGTGGAATACATGCCTACATCGACCCCAGGTCAACCATCCGCAACCATTGAGTTCCTAGTGGCGTCCTTGTTCCTAGTAGTAAGGCCAGGAGCTACTAGTAGCGTCCTTGCTCCTAGTAGCGATGCCCTTTGTTCCTAGTAGCTTCTTGTCCCATCAAACGCTTGGGGCTCAAATCCAAGGCAGTCACAGTGCCAATTGTTCCTATTGTCACCTGCCTCACCATGCGAATATCACCTTCGACAAGCGCCAGTGGCAGCAGTTGCAACAGATGGCCACTGGATCGCAGTATGGGTTGGGACCCAACAGAGGTTGAAGGACCCTTTTGCCTATCCCATAGGTATCCCAGTAAGGCCCTATAAGGTCACTTAACCTCTCTTGGACAGCATGCAGCGACTTGGTTGCTTCATGTTGTTTCAATCTGCTTGCCGACTCAGCCTTCCCACAGTTCTTGCTTGCCGACTCTGCCTTGCCAGGAACACCAACACAGGTCTACCATTTTAAGACACATGGAGAGCACATTGGCCAAGAAACAACTCACAAGGTCCAGCAGCTCACAACTCACAAGGTCTATCTATAGGTTCTCTCCCACCACCCAGTAGCATCACCAACTCCTACCGGCGTGTCGTTCGCAAGGATCTCGCTTCCCTCTTGGCCATCCTGCTGCCGTCGCTCCGCGCCACCTTGGCAGCGGCTGACTTGCCGAGGGAACCCGCAGCACAGTTGTTGGCCACAGTGGAAGCGCAGGCTGCACCCACTGCACTGCAGCACGACCGCCGGGGGCACCCAGATTTGGGGAGGTGCTGGGCATGCTGGGTATGCTGGGCTGGCCTTTGCTCATCCTTTGTTCACATCGGAACCCCAAGCAGGTTTGATTGGAAGATTGAGTTCGCAGATGATTCGAGTTGGAGGGGGAGCTAGTATGAGCGATTAAAGATGTTCATGTTTGTTCATGTTTCAATTTTCAGATGTGGCCAGATGCAATGGAGGGCTGCTTTCAGGAATAATTAGTGGGCCCCATATTCCATGATGGAATGTTTTTGTTGCCTTCATGGTGGTACAGCTTGGGTGTGTCCCAGTAAACCAGTAACAGTCGATCAAAGATTATCAGACTATCACTATTTGGAGAATTGTATTAATAATAAAGATACCGTAATAATAATCATCATCATCATTGCATCCATTGTTAGAGGGAATTGGATATACCCAATTGTACAGCTGTCTAAAGTGGACTTGTCGAATTCGAGGCTGGGTGGTGTTGCCAAGGATGCCATATGAGGCCATATGGTCCGGTTGCTCAAGAAGCTGACATGGGTTGTTGTAGGACAACTCTTAGAAGAGACTCTTTTGCCATTTGTAACCATTAACCCTAGAAGTCCAAAGACTATATTTTGACCGACTGAAGTAAAGGATCTTCCTTTTGGGTCACCTAAAGACCATTCTTTGTATAGTCTTTGACTCCCAGGGTTAACCATTAACGTGGAGTCCTTTACAGGCAGCGAAACCTCTGTGAGAGTCGGCCGGCCAGGCCTGAGACCTGTGGGGGTGCTTGACCTTGCCAGTTCGGCCGAGGCATGCTTCAGCGAACCGTTCGGAGGATGTCATTGCAACTTGGAACACACAAGGGGAGAGAGAGAGAGAGAGTCAATCAGTAAACATGTGAAACCATGGCGAAACACTGCGTGCAGTTTGAACAAAAACCATGATGTAACAGTTGATAGCTAGGGGGTTATGATTGCATGAATTTGCATGTATGAGAGTAGATGGCACAATCCCCAAGTTCGGTGGTTTATCACCCATTCGTCTAAGACATTTGGGGGGCCCGTGCCATCGAAACTCTGACACCACTCTATGTTGCTCGGGCCGACTGCGGGGCTGCGTAAGCACATGAGGTCAGCGATGGTGTTTTGCGAACTCCTCCAAGAACATGTCGACCATCTTCGTCATGAGATGACCCTCCCATAGGTGTCGCTGTTCCAGGTGTCAACCACCTCCCTAAAGGATGTGGACGGGCTGAGACCATTGAAAGGCTCGACCAGATCCTTTGACATGCAAGAGTTTAATGGGTCCACCAGCTCCTTAGATGGACTTGAACTCCGTGTTTGTGATTCGGCTCTGAAACTCGGCGCTGCCATGACTGTCATGGTGCCAACGTTTTTGAGCAGCCTGGCGGTGGGAGAGGTGTCAGCGCATTTAATGGGCTGCAGTTCACTCCACTAGCCGGGCGCCAATACAGTCAATGAACATTCAGGTGAAATATTGCCTGAGAGGCTTAGGACAAGCCTGTGTCCATGATTGCTGGAGAAATGCTTTCACTTCCTTTTTGAAGGCTGCATGATGTTGTACAAGGTTGCAGGTCGCCCACGTGTTCACGGCATGGGTTTGTGGAAGCCCTTTAAATTCGGAGTTTGCCGCGGACAAAAACTCTTTAAAGCTGTTGCACAGATCAGACAGCCACAGAAAGCAAAAGCACCGTCCAAACGCAGAACTGATCAGTGCAATGCCGTCAAACCACTCGTGTTCATCACGGGGGACGGGGAAACCGACGAACTCCCTCCAGCGGCAGTTCGAGCAGCTTTGAGGGGCGGATTTCCCAGCAAGTCCACTCCCAATGGCTCATCGACTAGAGAGGCATCGGAGAGGTTCCCAAACCTATTCCAGGGTACCAAGCAATGTCCAGCAAGATTTTCTGGGACCACGGTTCGCACTGTTGCGCTGAACTGCCTAATTTGATTTTCCTGCTGCGACGGCAGTTCTGGAGAAACCTCAGAACACGCTGAATATGTCGCTGTTGCTGGACAAAAGTTGGAACAGCTGCGCTGAAAGTCGAAGTTGTAGTTCCATTGTAAACTGTGGGGCCAAGTGGAGTGGCACCCGCAATTCCAGAATCAAGCCAAGTTGATGAGTTCTGTCCTGGAAATCGAATACTCGGGGCCTTGGAAGGTCAAGCTTGATATCTGTAGTTTCTTTGTTTCCTCCACCCGACACCGACCCTGCTGGGGGGACCAACCGACCTATGTACCTGCAATTACCTGCGTGCATGATCCAGCGTATGCTGCTGTGTTTTGATCGCGCCTTTCATAGGCTTCCTGTGGTGGAGACGGTCCATCCACCCAGCTGTAGCAAGTGAAGTAGGGGAGAACACAATCATATATATCCTTCATATCCTTTTCGTACCTTGGGAGTGCAAAACACTCCCTGATATAGTTGTTTAAGTGGAAAACCACCACTGGCTTGGTCATCGGATTTGGTCATCCGAACTTGAGGCAGCCATCCTGGGAAGACATCCACGTAAACATGATGCTTTTTGTTGGGATATGTATGGCTTTAACATGCTGCCAACCATGTTTGCACGTTGCAACCGTTGATCTTTGTGACATTCGACTTTTTGAGCTCTAAAGATGCCTTGGATGTTGCGAAAGCTCCTCCGTGGAGAACTTCGAATAAACGCACGACTGTATGGATACAGGGACCAACAAAGGTAGCCAGTGCCCGGGACCATAGGACCCGGAAGCTACCTGGGGTACCCTGGCCTGGGATAGTCGAACTAGGGTTCTGACCCACCTTTGCTGGGAGTTCTTTAGGTTGGGGCGACAGCCAGAGACCCTCCAAACTTCACACACTCATGGGCAGGTGTGATGACTCGCTGTCAGGTCTACCCAGCGAGAACAATCTCACCAATGGTGCTGGACTTAGGATTCGAAGTCGCACAGGTGAGGGGTGGCTGATCGTTTTCTGGTGCTTTCGGAGGCGGGAGGGCTGTTCTTGCAGCAGGAGAGCAGTTCTTGTAGCAGTTCTTGCAGTGTGTTCTTGCAGCAGGTGTTGCATGGTGTTCTTGTGAGGCTTGTTTTGCTACACTGCTAGGCTATACCCACTGGATCCAGGCAAACCACGATTTCGCTGGCAACCAGTGGTTCCAAAGACTGAAAGCAATAGGGGTCCACTGGGATAGGGATGGCTACCATGGATTCGCACTGTTGATTCTTGGATTCGCGCGTGACCGCACGCTGCATGAGTGGTTTGCTTCGAACACGTTGACCGCTTTCGGTCATGCTTTCGACTGGGCATCCACAGCGAGGGTAGCACCACGGTTGGCAGGGAATGCAGCAACAAGGGCTACAGGTGTGGGTCCAAACCAGAGGACCTTGGTCGACCACTGAACATGAAGATACAGATACCAAAAACCAGGGTACCAACAGAGGTGGGTCAGAAACCCTAGTTCGACTATCCCAGGCCAGGGTACCCCAGGTTTTCCGGGTCCTATGGTCCCGGGCACTGGCTACCTCTCTTGGTATACCAGACATGGTCAACCTTTCATGGTTTGCTAGGGGAGGATTTGATCCACCACTGCCGCAGATCCCTTCGGAGATCAGAAACCTCTTCTGACTGGTGCGACTCGTAGGGAATAAGGGAAGTTTCGCCCCCAATAGAGATTCTATTGGATCCAGCCACCCATCATTCCCTGCGAGTCGCACCAGTCAGTCTTGAGTTCTTTCCTTCAGGCGAAACAGGTGGCCGCTCCCGTGCGATATGGAGCCTATGCCATGAAGGCGCTTCAAATGGAGCTAAGAAGCCGGGCGATATGGAGCGTGTAAGGAAACCAAGTGCTTGCGGTATAGAGCAGGCTCACCTGGAAACACAGCTCATTCCATGGGTATGATTATTTTCTTCTCAAGTTATAGTATGTTGTAGCCATAGCGTGTGTGTTGTTGAATTCCCTTTGTTGCAGAAGTGCTGTATGAGCTTTTGCCTCTTATGTTCTTCAATGCTTCAGATGAAAAACCTCCGAAGTGTGGTGTCGATCCACTCGGGCTCCAGGCCGGCGTCCCAATGTCTCCGGCCGCTGGCCCTGTGCCTGGCCACGTGACCTTTGGCCAGGAGCCCCAATCCACCTCCACCATCGCTATTAGGGTGGAGGCCATTACTACTAGCAACAAGAAGCTGAGCCCGGTGAAGCGGGTGAAGGAGGAGCACCAAAAAAAACATCGCGCCGAAAAAGCGGTGGAGCAGTGAATCGCGTTTCGAAGGCGTGGAGACACAGAGTCTCTCCACATGTCGTTGTGGGTGAGGTCAACCACACCCGTATTGGTCTACGATAGGTAAAGCTTTTGGTGACGGATGGGGACTACGATGAGGTTTGGAAAAGATATCCATGACCCTGGAGTTGTTCGAGGTGAGATGGTCAGCCATCCTGAAGTGTAGTATCCCTAGGCTTCCAACAACCATTAAAGCATATCACTTTACCGAATCAACTAAGGATTTTACACTACAAAAACATACAAAAACCAGGTCAACAATTTGTTACATGGTCTTGGAAGTCTAGGGTATATACCTGTTGTCTTTTCAGATGCGCCACAATAAATGACCACGAAATACTACGAAGGATAGACGCAATTAGCTTTCATCCCTAGCCTTCCGAGACGCATCAAAAAAACGGTTGACATGCTGTTGAATGACCCTCGACTTCAACCATCTTCACCTGCTTCTTCGCTTTCGCGTTTCACTCGCCACGTGCCATCCATCTTCACCCGATATCCGAACGCCCGATTCCTCGGTCTTCCGAGGTGCTGTGGTGATGAATGGGCCTGGGAACGCCGAGCGCGGCTGCGGGCGATGTGTCAATCACTCCTCTGATATCCTGACCTTGGAGGGGTTCATGTGGGGATGAGAAAGCACCTCTAGGACGTATAGGAGAAGGGAAGTGGTTGTTCCACTTGGAAAGGGACATGGGATGGGGATATCTGTGGAGTTAGTTGCCCGCCCTTGAAGGTCAAGCACGCGTGGACTGGGCGTTGGTCAAAGTTTGCATACATCTTCGGACATGTCCGATTGTGAATTTGAGAAGGTTCATCATTCTGCGTGATTTACTCTTGTATACCCATTCTTGGGAATGAGACATGGTGTGACCAGCTGGTGTTGGTGAACTTGTGGAAAACATCAACGACACCCCCGGACGACGTTGCATCCAAGCTGGCTATGCGCAGAGACTCCATGTATGTTAGGAAGTGCCTACATTGACCCCTCTTGCTACCACTGCAGGTTTGGATATGCCAGTCCCATACAGCCATACAGCTGTTACGAGCTGTTTGTTGAAAATAAATACACTCCCCACACCTCAAATACCCCTGGTGTTTCCACCTTCGATGCGACCACCAAATGCCCCTCCCATCTTTCCAGCCGGACCAGCCTGTGGAGGCGTGAAGTGGCTCGTCCACAGGCCTGGCCTTCCGAGGGTCCAGTCGGAAGACCTGGTGTTGTAGTTTCTTCCAAGAGAGGTAGCCAGTGACCTGAACTAGGACCCGTCACCTGGGGTACCCAACTGGGATAGTCGAGCTAGGGTCACTCAACCTCTGTTGGTTAGAAATAACACAATGCCTTAAACAATCTCCAATTTCCTTTTGAAGAGGCTCATATTGGACCCTCACAGGTTGGGTTGGTTTTGACCCTCACACCAAAGATCACAAAAGCCTAGTTGGACCTCAATGGGTTTGCTGCCCAGGAGTCAGGAGAACAAATAGATCTTCTCCAGTATCAAAGATACCAACAGAGGTTGAAATCTATAGACTATCCCATAGGTACCCCAGTAGGGTCCTATAAGGTCACTGAACCTCTCTTGGTATTCACTCAAACAGTTTGCCACCAACACCAGGGGGTCACCTGACGGTTGCCTTCGCAGTCAGGCTTTTCACTCCGGAGTCGATCAAAACATCGGGCTCGACAAAGGTCCTAGGCCCTCCAGGGCTTCCTGGCCCACCATTGATTTAATAGCCTTCACCGAAGAACCATTGTTTTGCGCTCAGGGTTTTACACTACAGCACCCGTGGTCCACCATTTGTAATGGTCTTGGAAGTGTTGTGATATGTTTAAGATTGTTTAAGCCCAAAGGCTCATGGACCGTCCAAGTTACATTCCGACTAACATGGTTACGTGGATGGCATGGCCCCGAAAGGAAGACCATTTTCCACAGACAGGTGACGTCCACTTCCACGTTAGTTCCAGGGAGAGTTCTTGGTGTGGTGGAGGAGGTGGATTTGGCCAAAAATCCTGAATGTCCTGCATGTTTGCATGATGGTTGTTCGAATCGAACGATTCTCTCGAAAACGACGTTCGTTGGCG